ACAGAATAAAGACATTTTTAAAAAGAACTCCCCTGCTGCAGTTTATTACGAGAAACTCACTCTGACTTTTGAAATTTAAAAGAGTAAACCTTGTTGTCCTATACAATTCCTTTAGCTTAAAAGTTCAAGGTTTCATTTGTAAAAAGGAAAACAAAAGTAAAGCATTTAATCTAAATTAACTGCAAGTTTAAAAAATTATTGAAGAGAATAGCCATGAGTTCTATTTACAGATCCTTTTTTTCTAGTCATTTCATCAATAAGTACATAGGTTGTGTATTTTTTTTTTGAATTGAGGATGATATCACTTTTTTTTTTAAAATACATTTTTATTGATTTCAGCGAGAGGACAGGAAAGGGGGAGAGAGAGAGAGAGAAACATCAATGATGAGAGAGTTATTGATCGGCTGCCTCCTGCATGTGCCCTGACCAGGAATCGAACCCCCATCGCCTGGATCCTAGGTCAACACTCAACCGCTGAGCCACGGCCGGCTGGGGGGTATCACTTTTTAAATGTTAAATACTTTAAAAACTCCAAGAGTAAATCATGATTTTTTTTTAGACTTCTCTTTAAATACATGTAACACTTTGAGACGTCTTTAATCCCCTGTGAAGCTGTACTTCCCAACTGCATGTCAGCCCCACACGACAAAGACAAATAAATGGAAACCCAGGCCAACAAATACTATAAACCATGACATTCCAACACACCTGCCTCAGTTAGATACAAAGTGGACAGACAGGCCATGGGGAAATCTATAGGTACTGAAATAAAGCTTAGCACGTGGCCTAATGGATAAAGTTAACATTCAAACAAGTATCATTTCCTTTTGCATCATTTCACGCACTTCACACCAGGTTTTCTGAATCTCAGCATCACTGGCATCGTGGACCCCAGGGAATTATGTTGTATCTGTCTGCCTGTCCCGTGTACTGTAGGGTAGTTAAAAGCATCTCTGGCCTCCACCTACTACATGCCAGGAGAATCCTTGTCCTAGGTCATGGCATGAAAGCATGACTCCAAACACCACCAAATGTCCCCTAGGCAAAAACGTACCCTGTTGAGAACCGCTGCTGTACACTAGAGAACACCCAAGAGTTAACATGGACAAAAGCCTAACATTTTATTTCATTTGAAATGATTTTACAAGAGACATACAGTACGTGAGTTAGTGGTACTAACCGAGCCAGACCTTGTAAAGGGGGTCAATACCACTGGGAAGACGTGATGATCCACTCTGACAACGAGGGCTCACGCCACACCGTCCATCCCCCTTCAACCAGGCAAGCTCTAACGCCCATGGGAAGATAGCCAGGGCCCCTTAAAACTCTAACGCAGGTGTCGGGGTGGAACTGGCGACTGTGCATCATGAACTGCCTATAAATTGTTTACTCTCTAAGCTTGTGTCCAAGGTCAGATTAAGATGAGAACGGTAAGTCTGAGTAGGAAAGAACATAAAAGTTGAGGCAGATGGCCTAAAGTTTTGTGCAGGAACAACTCATTAACATCACACTTCTCTCCTGCCTCTCTCTTCACCTAAGCGAAGCTGTTCTTTTCTGGAGAATTTTCAGAAAGCAGATAGTTTTACATTCCCGAAAAGAAAAAAAAATCAATTTATAAAATAAAATTGGAATGAACACTGCCCATTTAAAGATTTGCATTAATCTTAAGCATAAGACAAATTTCTTATGCTACTTCAAAGCAAGACGTAATGTCCTCTTTATATTTATAGCATATATCAACCAAACAACAGACATGAAGTTTTAAATGGCAAGTCCATCTAGAGTACAGATGTTGAATCAGTGCCAAGAAAACTATAGCTTTGAAGGGTACCTGGCACTCTGAAAACACAATATCCAAAATTGTGCCTAGGAAAACTAAAATCTATACTTTTTTCCAAAGAAATGTTTTATTTGAAAGTTTAAAAGTATCTCTTTTCTTTGCACATGGGAAATCATGTTTAGATATAAACAGTGACAAAAGTGATGCTTGTAACATTTTATAGCCACATGCCAAAATTTCAAGGATTAACTCATAATGTTTTAATTTCCACAATCTGATTGAAATCTGTCTTTGTTTTCTTTCTCAGTGCTTGAGTTTTTGCTTTTAAATAGACATGAGGAAGTAGTAGTGGAAATCAGAGCAGCAAATACTAGATTTCTGATGGCAACTATAATTGTGTTTCCTTCTGAATTAGCTTAAAAAAAATTCTTCCTCTACTTTCCTTTTCTTTCCTACCACAAAATTGAAACCATACTACAGAGTTTATTTCTTGCCTTTTTCACTTAACATTTTCCCGTGTTTTTAAATAGTTCCCCAAACATAATTTTCAATGGCCACTCCTATTAACTCTTTGGTAATATTATGTAACTGGTTTTTATTTTAGGGACTTTTAAAATTGTTTTCAATCTTTGACTCTTCTTGCTGGAATGAATTCTCATGCATAATTATGTTTGCATCTCAGGTTATTTAGGAAAAATGTTCCTATAAGTTAATTTATTAGTTCAAATAGTAAGAACATTTTTATAGTTGTACAAAACAAACTGCTTCCCTCTATCAGTCTTTGAGAATGCCAACTAACTGCCTACTAAAATATAATGGATATTTTCTTTTTCAAAAAATTCAATTTTGAATATTAAAAATAATATCTCATTGCTTTAATGCATATTTAGGGAGACTGAACTTTTTTATACTTAGTACTTATAATTCTACCTTTTCAAATTGTCTGTCTGATGCTTGATTCATCTTACCATTGCAGTGTTCAGTTTTTTTTCATATTAAACTATAATTTAATATAAAAGTATATAAGTCTTGCTTATGACATCTAGAAAGTTTTAATTTTTATGTTTATCTAACCAACTCTTCCCTTTGTGATCTTGCCACTACTTTTATGCTTAGAAAGTCCTTTTTCATGTCAACGTAACTAATGTCATCTTTTCCTTTAGCTCTTTGGTTTCATTTTGACATCTATATTTTTAAAACACCTGGAATTTATTTTTGCTATAGTATGAGAGTGGTGATTTAATATCTGGTAGCATAAGAGCCCATTAATCATTATTTCCAAAATTTTCCTGCCTAGTTTTCCAGATTAACTTTTAAAATCACTTTGTCAGGTATCCCTCCCCCAATCTCCCCAAAACTCATTTACAGTCCCATTGAAATTGCAATTAAACTACAAATAAAAATCAGGGAATACGTAGAATATTGAATACTGGTGCTATCAGGTGTCCTTACCTGATTATCATAAATACTCCAGTATCTTGTTTGTATACCAATACACAGACCTTTTGTTTCAGATAGGATTTTTTAGTTTGTTAGAGAATTCACCTTCCATTTTTATCACTAAACCTCTAAATGAATATAGATTTTGTATTTTGTTAAATTCTTTTGCAACATCTTTTGGGGATTACATGTGCAATAACTGTATCTTCTATTAACAGGTGTCTTAACAGTAAGCCAGCCTTTAATTCTATTATTCCTTAATATGTTGATGATTTGGGATTGCTCGTGCTTTCATTAACACTTTTACATACAAATATTTCTAGTCTGGAGTCTTTTTTAAGATAATTTTTTTGGATAACTATTAAAATTTCAATGATTACTGTATTTCCATTAGATATTCAACTTCTTTATTTCAATTAAATTTCCCCTGAAGAACGTTCATTTGGAGATTCCCAAATCTGAGTTTCAACTTAAAAAATCTCATCTACATGTACTGTTTATATGCCACTTAGGTTTTCTAACTTGGCATACTGAAGATTTTCCTTTTTCCTTTTTGTTAGGCATCATAAATATCTTTCTATATTTCCTGTCTTCTCTGTGTCCACCAAGAATTAACTATTTGACTTTTCAAATATTCTGTCTTATAGTCTAATTTATTCTCACTGACCTGCAAAATAAATCTTACAGTATCTGGCATTGTACTGTGCTACTTACTCAACTTGTAAAGTGGCTATTTCCAGTCATATTATGAGCCTGTCTTGGGGCAGGCTTCTTCTAATCATTAATTTGATTAATTAGAAAAGCTGTAACTTCGCTGTACTCTACTAGAATTTTTAGAACCCATTTTTAAAATGTTGTTAAAGACTCAGAAAGCAACCCAGTAGCTAGGTCTGGTCTTGGAAAACTACCTTTCCCCCCAGAAGACACTGGTGTTCCATATTATTCATTTTTACCACTACATGAGCCAACACTTCAAAATAAATTACTTTCAAGAGAAGAAACAAAACGAAACGAAGAAACAAATGCAATGCTGGAAACTATGTTTATGCAGTGTAAATATCAACTCTTTAACCTTACTGAAATTAGGGAAAATACATTTCAGAAACCACATGTTTCTTTTTAGGAATGATAATCTGATTGTGGCAAAACCCCGTACTTGTGTAACTGCTATTCATGCGCTCTTGCAATTTGCCCAAATTTGTTTTTCACCCATTAGAGTTCCTGGTGTCTTGTTACCACAACTTGACATGCACTTTCCTGTGTAATTTGTGTGTGTGTGTTTTCCAGAAATGCTGATTAATTACCTCTCTGCCCTCTGAAATTCATATGGACATTCCTATGAAAATACTTACTCTTAAATGCACTTCCCATATTATACACGAGTGGGGAAGAAAGGTTTTTCTAAAAGTGTTCAGCGTGGCTTACCCAAAGCCATCATGACTCTACTTGTCAACAGGAAGCCCCATCCTTCAATCCGGAGCCCACCTAATGCACGGAGCCTCAACCGAAACACTTTCCCTCTCAAGTGTGCATTTACCTCCCAGCGACCTGCAAGTATAGACAGATTTCTCTCTACGCAATTTTGAGATTTTTGGGTAGAGAAACAGGTGAGCTGCTTATGTGTTTCATGATAAAAGCTAATTAGCACACATCCCTACCCCCAGGAGGACCACTAACCTAATATCCAGCAGATGCAAAGTTCATATCGTCAGACATATAACCACCGTGCTGCAAGGAGAATTTCAAAGTGAGATGGAGCTGGGCGCTAGAAACACCTTACCTGCTTTCCATCCAGCGTGCAGAGCCTCTTGACCACTCCTGAGTCTAGTTTAATGGCTTCGGTGATATCTGTTAAGACTTGTTCAAAGGAATGAGCGGTCTTCTTATTCAGAAGGATCCGCACGGCTTTTCTAGGCTTCACGCCACTTCGGATCACAGTCACCAATTTGGGTTTGATGAAATCTTTACTTTCCTTCACTTCACTTTTCACCGAGGAGGGAGCAGCCAAGGCTCGGGTGGTGCCACCCTTGATGTTCACAGACCAGTTCGGATTAATATTTTTGGTGTAATCAACTTTACGAAATGGTTCGTTCGACGCACACACGTAACTCTCACCTGAAAAAGCAAAAATCAGTTTTATTAGCATGATTTCCCCACCATGGAAGAAGGCAGGCTGGAGGCCCATTGAGTGGACCCTAAACTTGACAGACTCACTGAAAGGGACCAACATCCTTCCTCTCTGGCATCTCCACGCCCTCCCTTTCTCTTTTATAGCATCTAGGTTGGTTTTGAGAATAACATGCATGAGAGAGGGAAAAGCACTGGACAAAGAAACAAGAGACATCGGGTTCTGTTCTGATCAAAAGTGTCTTCCTGGATAATTTCTCTGCACTTGGGGTCTCAGTATCATTATCTGTAACATGTAGTTGTTGAACCAGATGAATTCCAAAGTACTTCCTAGTTCCAAAGTCTATTAACTAATTTTTAAAATTTCATCTGGAAGAGATAATTACATCACAAAATAATATATTCATATAAAGAAATAAAACTATTTCCCTCCTCCTTCCAATGATAGATTTCAGCCCTAATCAAAGAATGATCACTATATCTTCACATAGCTGACTAAATTATATTCACTTATAGGATCATTTACTCAATTAATGAAGCATCACAAAAAAAAAAAAAAAAAAAAAAAGAGTTTTAGCTCAAAGAAACATAACTCAGGCATTTTTTCTTAATTCAAAAATGTGGATTTAAAATAATTGGTTTAAACAGCCTTTTCTATATCTATTTAAATGGGAAAGGGTATTAGGTAGTTAAAATGATGTGTGCATTTATACACAGTCTTCTGCTCAATTTTTATTAAGAAAATCATAAAAAACTATCTGTCAATTGGTCTACCAAATCAATATTCATTAATTTTAAGTTCCAAAATTGTATGTTGAAAATAATTTGTTTTCATCGAATAAGCAAAATTATATGCTTATAAAAATAAGAATTTTTCTTTTGGGAGATTCAGAAGCCACCCAATTCTTTTAGTCTCAACTTTTTGGCACACAAGATAACAGGGTTACACTCTAAGATTTTTCTCTAAGACGTCCTCTAACTCAAAAAGAAACCATTATTTTTTCACCCGTTCTGTATGAGTCTCATTCTTAATATTACAATGATATGATACAACCCTTAAATGCTGTGAATGCTTAAAACAAAAATCACCAAAATAGTGAAAGGGAAGTCCTAAGGATTTGGGAGGCATCATTGGGCCCTGTCCAAGAAATCTAGGGGACCAGTCGCAGGCTTCAATGCTGTAGCCACACCAGTAATTAGAAGTCACCATTTAGAGATTTTTAAAAATCTCTGTAGGTTTATCTAAATCATTTTTCCAGGGTAATCATCTGGGAAAGTGTCACAGAATTTCAAAATAGGTATAAATTTAATAAAATAGAACTATGTAGCACCTGCATGTATTAATGAGCAAAAATAAACAATTATGATTTTGCTTTAACTTTATAGAGAAAGAAACTCTCACATTGAAAAGCTCTTACTTATTTTACCTATGATAAAAGTTAAGTTGTATGTTCTGATCCAAAATATTAAAATAAAAAGAAACCTCAGCAAGAAAAGGTTAATTATTTAATTTTTTTTTTAATTTTTTTTTTTAGGAGCAGAGAGGAGTTAGTTGGAGAAAAGCCTTTCCCAATATAAAGATAAAAAGTCATTGACAAAAAGAAACAAAACAAGAAAAATTTAATATGTCAGATTTCCTTAATCAACCCAGTCCCTGCGCAGTCGACATATTAACCAGGAGAACTGCCTTTTAAATGTCTGTATTTTGCCTCTTTACATGGGTTCAGAATGTCAGAATGAAAATAGGCAAAGGAAGCCTGTCTTTTAATTTGTTGGTGTGTGATTACACATACATTTTAATTCCCTCCCTTCCTCCCCTCATAATGTTTCTATTTAAAAACTCCTAGATCAGTTCCATAATAACTATGTAAAGTTTTGAACAAGGCTGGCCAATGCCTGCTGGACAGAGCCTCACCCCTGCTCTACATCCACAGGAGACATAAATAATAATTCACAGAGTACTCTTCTGCTAAGCCCAGACTGACCTTCACAGTATGCACTGAATACCTACTATGCGCCAGCTCGTGTGCCAGGTGCTGACGTGATAAGAAACCCCACTTTGGCATCCTTGGCACTCAACATTTCAACACGAACGTTCAGCACATGGTTTTGAGGCCACACTTGTGTTTCTTTATATTGAGTACATAAAACCCTACAGTATAGATGTCATACCTTGATAACTACAGCCACCACAAAACCCAGGCCAGCTTCCCTTGTCATGTCCCCACCAAACAACCTGATTGCAACCTTATCGCTTATATAGATTTGCCCACAGGGATACGCTGACAAAGAATTTAAGATTTTGGTTTCCTTGGGCAGTTCTAGCTCCTGCCGTTAATCACAAAATAAATTATTATTCTCCGTCAGATACTAGGCACCTACAAGACTGATCAGAAGCGATCAGCCTCCCCCCAACCAGATTGATGCTACCGTATGGATTCTGCTCTAAGAGTTGCTACTCCCCTGCCGCCTTCCTCCCCATCCTGGTGAGCAACTTCACTTCCTCCTCCAGCTACTCAGCTAGAAACTTAGGTGCCACCCTTCATTCGTCTGGTTCCCGACATACTACATCCTGACGTCGAGTTGTCTACCCTTTAAGTATTTTTGAAAATGCCCCTCCTGTCTGCCCCCATCACCACCTACTTCCCACCTGGATCAGTGTAAGCATCTTCTGTTTTCTGCTCGTTCCTCAGAAATATAACAAGTTTTCCAAATGGAGGTACATTTTACGCTACTGATATGGCTGGGAAAGTATATTCTACAGTAAAAGTCTTGCTACCCAGATAAAATACATCATGAGAGAATTTACCTATCTCTTCCCAGTACATGTGAATACTGCACTTGCCAAAGCAAGGAAAGGATAAGATCTCATTAAAAACTAGAGTTAAACTAGGATATAAATACATATGTGTATGTATATGTATCTCATAGATGGATATAAGGGAAATCAAGCAGTCCCTGAAGTCCAGAACTGACCTGATATTCATAGGTAGACTCCATGTTATTAGAAGCTGACCTGACACAGTCAGACCTGTGTCCTCCTGTGGAATCTAATCTCACAGAACATCCTGTCAAACAAAGTCTCTCTGAGGCTATGATGAAGTGACACAAAAACGAGGTCATTGTGCAACCCATACAAGACCAAATACCCCCCCACTCAATGAGTGACTACCACGTCTTTACCAGTTACAGCTTTTTGCTCAATCTAGTTTGCCCTCCCCGTAAGATTTAGGGAGATACCCAATTATAGAAATGCCCTTCCTTCCAACAGCAGTCGATACAGATTGAGGCCCTGCTCCCTTAGATCTCCCCTGAAATTATCCAGCTGAAGCGCCAGGTCTACGGCAGGTCCGGCACCCTTCCTGAGAAGCCCCACGGTATCATGCATCCTTACTGCGGCGATAATGAACCCAACTATAAGTACGTTCCTGGTGGTCTCTGGCTGAAGAGACCTGAGATACATTCTTTCTCTTTAATAACAGTTCTTTGACCATAAGACACTAAGAGGAAATCGTTTCGAAAATTATGATCCTGTGAATACTACATACAAAGAGGAAAAGCACCCTCTACAACTTAATTGTTCTCAAGCGTGGTATGAAACAGAAAAGGCTTTCAATTTCCTTTTCAGATTCTCTCCAGAGGCATGGTTATGGCTTTGTCCCATTGACATTTGTTCAGAGACATCTTTTATTACTTTATATTTAGCAGGTTGATAAACTAAGTGTCCACAACTGTGTAATAATACAACCTGGATATTTCTTAACCCTTATTTTTCATCCTTAATCAAATTAATCGCCTCCTATTTAAGAGGCTATTGAAAACTAGAAACTCGAAAATTTCTCGTTCTCTGAAAACCTCTTCCCTACGAATATATTTCAGTGTCAATTCTTCCCACCTCCTCTCCCTTTTCAGTGACAAGGATACCCTCCCCCCATTCATTATTAAGTCCTTCTACAGGACTTGGGTCCTTCCCTCTCCCCATGCTGATACGTCAAGGGCATTCTTTCTCTCTCCTCCATTAAACTAGACAGCCCTCCCTACAGGATTATACACAGTGTCTCTCACCTCAAATATACACACAGATGCCCCCCTTTCTTCATTCCTCATACCACTCAACCTAATGAGCTTTAGGCTTCCATTCACTCCAAAGTTAAAGAGCATTTCTCACTGGAACCATAAAAGACCCTGACTAGCCAAAGTGCTCTTGAGAAAGAGGAACAATGTTGGAGGTGTACACACTACCAGATATAAAACTATACTGCAAGGCTATAATAATCAAAACAGCATGGCACTGGCATAAAAACAGACACATGGAACAAAGGAACAAAATACAGAGCTCAAAAGTAAACCCACGCCTATATGGTCAACCAATCTATGACAAGGGAAGAAAGAATATACAATGGAGTCTCTTCAATAAATGATGTTGGGAAAACTGGACAGATCATGCAAAAAATGAAGCTAGACCACTTCCTTACACTATATACAAGAATAAATTCAAAATAGGCAAAAGACATAAATGTAAGACCCCAAAACCATAAAACTCCTAGAAGAAAAAATAGACAGTAAACTTTTGACATTGCTCTTAGTAATATTTTTTTGATATGTCTCCTTGGACAAGGGAAACAGAAGAAAAAATAAACAAATGGGACTACATCAAACTAAAAAGGTTTTGCACAGCAAAGGAAATCAACAAAACAAACTGGTAACCTATTGAATGGGAGAAGATACTAGCTTATGATATATCCCATAAGGGATTAATATCAAAATATATAAAGAACTTATACAACTTAACAGCAAAAATCCCCCAAACAATCCAATTTAAAAATGGGTAGAGGACCTCAATAGATATTTCTCCAAAGAGGACATACAGATGGCCAAGAGACATGAAAAGATGCTCAACATAACTAATCACCAGAGAAATGCAAATTAAAACTGCAATGAGACACCACCTCATACCTGTCAGAATCGCTATCATCAATAACTCAACA